TCTCATGCCTATATCTTGTACCCTAAGTATCTACTCTGAAGTTAACCATATGCAATTATTGATGTATAATAACAATGTATTAATCACTGTTACTATCTTGTTTTGAAATCCTGGAGTTCTTTTTTTTTTTAAATAAAAATAAAGAAATGCTTTTAAAAGTTCCTAATAACAATAAGTTCCAATAATAACAACAACAATAATAATAATATCAAACATATAGTATAAAGGCAATAAGTGATAACTGGTATAGAAAACAGTGGTGATAAATGGTAGGTATACGCAGCAGAAGGTGACTACAATTTTAAACAGGTACTTTATTTAGACAGTAATCATTATACAAAGATACAAGGAAGGTAATGGAAGCTCATGTATATCTGGAGGAAGAATATTCCAAGAAGGTGGAATATTCCAAGGCCTGGAGCCAATGGCAGGGGCCCATATGGAAAATGCGGGAAAGAAGAAGCTGCGATCAAGAGAGATTTGTACATAGCTTCCTAGGTCACTGCAAAATTCTGACTTCTGAGTTAGGGCCACTGAAACTTTTTGAGTTGAGGAATGAAAGGATTTCATATAACAGGATCATTGTGACAGCTATATTGAGAAGAAACTACACAAGGTTAAAGGGCAGAAGCAGTTTAGGTAGGAGGCTATTTTAGTAAAGCAGGTAGCTTGGATCAGGTTGGCAGTTAACAGGCAACCAATGGTCAGATTCTATATATATTGTTTATATTTGTGCTCCAACCAGAGCATCTGGATGTGAGTTATAAGTGAAAAGGAAGAACAAAGGAAAACTTCAAACATCTCTTGAACAACTCACAGGAATGATATAACATTAATTGAGACCACATGACACAGCTTTGACAACCATAAAGCAAACAACCTAAAATTCCAAACTTGCATTCTGAGTTGTAATAAAAAAGAACTTTCTGGCTCAAGACTCTTAAGAGTTCTAGCATAAAACTGGTACAAAAGAGGCGCGCGGGTAAAGGACAGTACTTTGCAAGCACTTCTGCGGGCTGCTTCCTTTCCTATAATGAAAGGAACTAGAGATCTAGTCCCTAAATGGTCTTTGTTAGGTGGGAACTGTCAAGAAAAGAAAAAAAAGTAAACACTCATGAGGCCTGATAAGAAAGTGTTGCACGACGATTTCAGGATACTGACTTACCTGACACATCACTTCACAATTTGCAATAGTCAACACAGTTCTCTTTCCAGGCTCCTGGAAAGAATGCGAGACATTAGTTTGTTCTCTGTTCACCACTACGCACGGAAGGCACTCATATTACTCCCGATTTGTCTTGCAAACAATGACAAAACTGAAACTCAGGGATATCTAAAGCATTTAATCAAGGTCATTTAATGCACGCCTAGAAAGCGTCAGTCTCTAACATGAAAATTCCAAGCGGTGTCTGCTTTGAGCGCTTACTACTTAACACTGCCCACTTCATTTTCACAATCAACATCTGAGATGTAAGCGTGATCCTACAGAGCAGGACAGGAAGGCCAGGAAAAGTCAAGTCCCTACCCCGGACGGTCGTGCACCCACCCTCCCTGGACCCACCCCTCACTGGCACCCAAGCTCCGACGCACTGGTCACTGGTGAGCAGACAACGGCTGCAGCCTCTGGAGACTACACTGCTCAGCGCCCCAGTCGTTTCGGGAAGGCTGCCACCAAGCCAGATAGCACCGCCAGATGAGCCTAAGGTTTCCTCCGTAGCATAGTTACCATTCCCAGATTCCTCCGCGAACAAAAGTTCCCGACTCCGCGAACTACGGCCCCCTTGGAAAACCTCATTTCCCGGGAGACTCTGCGGCCGCGCGGACTGGTTCGGCTTTGTAAGAAATTATACCTCCTGGAGCTGTAGTCTCGCCACGGCGGATCGACAAGGACACACACGCAATGCGTCGGGAGTACACGGTGTCTTCTTGTGAACAATATTTCTCGGGCGAGCAATATCAAAGGCGAGCCTCTACTTGTGTTGTAAGAACAATGGCGCCCAGGCCGCTAAACTACATTTCCCACAAAGGCTTGCGGCCGGGACCAGAACTTCCCGGGTCCTTCGAGGCGCAGCAGATACGTCTTTCCCCCTCTCCCCAGTAGGCTTTGCTGATAGCTTAGGAGATGTTCTGTTTTCTAGTAATGTCTTCCCTCATCCCAACCCTTGCTGCAAAACTGCCCAGCTCCTATATTCTTTGAGTATTTTTCACCCACTTGCACGCGACTGTAGATCCCAAGAATGTCCTGTGGCCCGATTGCCACAATAGTTACTCACCGACCGAGACATTTCTCATAAATTCATGTGGGCATTTTATCTGTATCACACTAAGAGGGCCGTTTTGCTGTGCGTTACACACTCTCGGAGAACTAGCGCTCCAGTCAGCGCTTCGAGGACGATAACCATCATCCTGGGAAGTCACTCCTGTAACTTTCAGCCTGATCTCCTTCTACCCCAGGAACCTTTCTTTGGCTGTCCCTTTGTCCCTGTCCACACAAAGGGGAGACGGACAATTATATCCGTAGGCCAGAGCAATCTACAATCGTTGTATATTTGGGTTGTTTAGTGCCTTTTTAAATTTTAAATTTAAAAAAAATTATAGTATGACGGTGAATTTTCTTGTACACGACAAGCGCTTATGTATGTGACGTTCGTTAGTATTTCCTTGTTGGGATGACATGGATGTGATATTTGATTACTATGGCTTTGGGTTTTTTTGTTTTGTTTTGTTTTAACGTAACATCAGCTAGCTTTTTCTTAAGGCTAAGTGTATGGAATAAAGAAAAAGATTGCCAGTGAAATATCTACGTCTACGACTTTATTATACAATGACAAACTTTTCCAAAAGTTGTATCAGTTTACACTCCTACCAGAGTTTATAGTATTTTGGTTGCCAACAGTTTAGCGCCGAAACTCAATTTTGTGAAACTTTCAAATGTTGACAGTCTGCTGTATGTGAGATTGCAACTCATTGTGGTTTAGTTTGCATTTTTTATTGTTAATGAGGTAGAGAATCTTTTCATATGTCTGTTGGCCGGAATAGTTCCTTCTTTGAGAATTGCATACCCTTTGGTCAGTGTTCTTTTAGAACAATAATCTTTTTAATATTAACATGCAAGTGACATAGAAAAATTTAATATTAAGGGAAGAGTGCAGAGACAAGAATACTAGGATCCTCCCTGTTATTTCAATCCAGAATGTCCCCCCAGTGCCTTATGTGTTCAGGTGGGGCTTTTGGAAGATGACTGGGTCATAGCTGAATGTACTGTTAGGAGGTGGGGCCAGATAGAAGGAGGGTTGATTTGTAAGGGTATATCTCCCTCTCATCTCCTCCCTGGTAGCTCTGCTTCCTGACCGCCACGGTGTGAGCAGCTTTAATCTGTTATATCCCTCTGCTGTGCCATTTCTGGCTTGGAGCTGGTGACCATGCACAAAAACTGAGCCAAAACCATTCTCCCCTTTAAACTTTGGGGTATTTTGTCCCAGCGTTTAGAAAGTTACTAAGATATCACCCTTCCTTTAGGATTCCAAATTAAGTAATTGGATATGTTTTGTTTTGTTTTGTTTTTTGTCTTTTTGAGACAGGGTCTCACTATGCAGTTTAGGCTGGCCTTGAGCTCACTTTGTAGCCCAGGTTGGTCTCGAACTCACAACGATGCCCCTGCCTCAGCCTCCCGAGTGCTGGGATTGCAGGCGTGCGCCACCAGGCCCGGCAGTAATTAGATATGTTTTCTGCAAGTTTGGATAATGTTTCTGGTTATGAAACTCATTAATTTTTTTCCTACTTGGACTTTCTTGGGCAACTTGAATCTATGAAGTGCCATGCTCAGAAAACTTTTACTGTCTCATGTTTGCCTCTGCAATTTTCTTTCTCCTCCTTGCAAACTCCAGTTTGTTATAGGTCAGATCTTGCCACTCTTTATCCTCCAAGCATCTTAAATCCTCTGTCATTTCTGTCCTTCAATCTCTGTTGCAGACTGTGTACTTAATTGTGATTTGCCATTCATAAAGTCTTCAGGAATACTTAATTGTGATTTACCATTCATAAATTCTTCAGGAGATTTTTGAAATTTCAATTTTGCAAGGCTGCTTTCAAGGCTAGGCATATTTGCTTCATAGTTTGTATCTAAAAATAACAGGAGTTGAAGAATTTGTGAATCCTTTCATAAATTTATTTTTATAGTTGTTCACTCAGTTTGAGTTTTGGTATTTTGGGTTTGCTTTTCGTTGTCTGTCTGGAAGATGTGGACCTTCCTCATATTCTTGGCTGAAAGTGCCTTATAGATTATATAATTCTAATTTAAGGTAAGAGCTGAATTACTAAATCTCTAGACCCCCTTTAAACTATATTTAAGACATAATGTCTCTGTCTAGTCCATCCAGAAAGTCTTACATAGAGATGTTTCACTGTTGATGCTTTTTTTTTTTTTTTTTTTTTTTTGAGACAGGATGTGGCTATATAGTTCAGGCTGGGCTCAAACTCACAGTGGTCCTCCTGCCTCTGCCTCCTAACCTCTTGGATTACAGGTATGTACCACTACACCCAGCCTGTTGGTGCTTTCTTCTCTTGAGATTCATGGAAGTATTATTATAGAGACTTTACATTATAAGTCTTAAGATATTTGGAACATGAATTAAGTTCATGAGTGGAGGGAGGGCTAACATTAAAGATGTGGCTAGTGACAGAGGGATGAAAAAATTTAAGTGGGGGGCTAGTAATTTTGTTTCAATAGCAGCCAGCTCTTAACTTTACTGTGTAGCTAAACCACTAGTATGTGAATGCTCTGTGATTTATACTATTTTGGGTTTGTTTTTTTTGTTTGTTTTTTTTTTTTTTAGATAGTGTCTTGCTATGTAGTTCAGGGTGGCCTCCAACTTACTAAGTAGCCAGGCTGGCCTCAAATTTCTGGATCCTTCCTCAGCCTCCTGAGTTCTGGAATTACAGGCATGTGCCAGTACACCTGGCTGACCTATACTATTAAAAAAAGGATGGAGGTCTTCTGATTAATAGGGAATGAGGAGGAGAAAACCTGTGAGGTAGAATGGAAATCATAGGCATAAGTAAATGCATTTTAAACAAATATGACAGTCTATTTCATGTGAACTATGAATATGAAATAGACTGTGAATTTGCAGTGATCCTCCTACCTCAGTCTCCCAAGTGCTGGAATTACAGGAATGTACCATCATGCCTGGCAACATTAGGGATTATGACACTAAGAGATTTAAACAATCTTCCTCTGATGAACATTTGGTTTGGGCTCAAAGTTTCACTTAAAGTATGAAGAATATTCTTATGTATACATCATTGCATGTGTCTTTGAGTTTTTCAAGTACAAGTCCCTAGATTCTACTATGTTCTAATAGGAATAAAAAAATCAAAGAGGAGGTTAAAGTTAAACCCAGTTTTACTTGAGTGCAGAATATATTTTCAAATTGCAATATACAAGTTCAGGTTAGAAAACAGAAGGATAAGGTTGAAGCTTCAGTTCAGAAAAACTGGGAGACGAGAGATATATAGCTCAGTATTCTTGGAAAAGCTCAGCTCAGCATTCTTTGGACATAAACAAGGAGTGAGCAAGCCAGGTGATGGGAAACTGACATAAATCAGAGTGGTTAGAGATTTTTAAATCCATTGAGATATACATGCCAAGGACAAACTTGTCACTCTGCCATCATTTAAGGCCAAGGGACTGTCACGGGTTGTGCCCTCCCAAAAACATCTCACGCATGCACTAATAGGTGGGGCTTTTTGGAGGTGGCTAGACCTAGTGTGTGTGAATATGGATTAAAGAGTGTGTGATAACTAAATTATTCCACAGATTGGTTTGGCATAGTTGTGGGTATGGGTTATGGAAGGGCCACCCTGGGCGTGGGTGGCATCCTGACATAGGCTTGTAACCTGGATAGGTTAAAAGCGAGAGGAAGCCTTGCTGCTTTGCCCCCTCCTCCCTTCCCTACCATGGACTGTTTCTCCTTTGCCATGCTCCCTGCCTTGGAGTCACCTGAATACGGACTCAAGCTGTGAGCTAAAATAAACCTTTCCTCCTTTACCGTGTGAGGATCTGGTGATTTGTCCCATGAATTTTAAAAGTAACTAAGACAGGGATATTGATAAAGGACTGAAAAATGTTTCCTTTTCAGCTTCTGACATCGTGTCTGTGCAGCAAATTATCCCTGTTGGTAAGTGTATAAGGCTTGCAAAGATTTTTTTCAATACTTTTCTTTGACAATTGTGCTCCCATTTTGACTTTTATTTTTTCACTTGTATAAGAATTTGCCCACCTCGGCACTTCGTTACACACAGCAACAAACTGTCCCTGAGAAGGGCTGTGTTGTTTCACGTTTGGTCCTTAGGAGAAAGTAAGGCTTTCCAGAGTCTAGTTTTAAGGTTTCAGATAACTGGAAAAGGGGTTCACCTGGCTTTGGTACTGCTTCCCCTATAGAGCAGGGGGACAATGGCAGGAGGGGCCCTGCCCCAACCACAATGAGAAGGAAAGGAGTTCAGGCTGACCTTGAGCTCACTTTGTAGCCCAGGCTGGTCTCAAACTCGCAACAATCCTCCTGCCTCAGCCTCCCAAGTACTGGGATTACAGGTGTGTGCCACCATGCCCGGCCCAAATTCTCAAGATTCTTATTTGCACACGAACATGCTTCTTTTCTGGGTGGAGCCAATGAGATCTATTCAGTGAATAATGGCCTTGGAAGAGCTTACTGCAGGAGTTCTGAGAAGTTCCTTTTATTTTTCTCTAGCTTTATTACCATGTGTTAGTTGTTTTTCTATTGCTATTAAAGACCTCTGAGGCAAATTAACTTAAAAAGAGAAAAGAGGTTTATTTGACTCATAGTTTGAGGTTCCAGTTCACACTCAAGGGATCTGAGTGCATCACCAAGCCCAGCTATTTTTTAATTTTGAAATAGGGTCTCACTAAGTTGTGCAAGCTTGTCTCAAACGCATGATCTTTCTGCCTCAGCCTCCTAGAATGCTAGGATTGCAGATATGCACCACTGTGCCTGGTTTAGAGTTGTAATTCTGTACTAGCAATAAACTACTGAAAATTTAGTCTTTAAAGATACTATTTAGAAAAGCATGCAACATATAACGTGGGGTGATTTTAGTGCGCTGATTAGTTTGACAGTTTTGAGTGGATAATGGGAAGGCCAACCCTGGGCGTGAGTGCTGCCCATGGTAATGACAGCTAGCCTGAATATAAAACACAGAAAGAGGGCTGCTTTAGCCACTTGCTGATTCCTTTCTGCTACTTTGTTGCCTTCTTGCCTTTGTTCACAATAAACTCTTTCTCTTCTGGGATGCTCCTCTGCCATGCCACCCTGCCTTGGAGATGGCCAAACAATACTAGCATAAACCTTTCTTTTCAATGAACTTAGAGAAATTAGTAGTATAACTATCTTAACTATCTTTTTCTTTTTTCTTTCTGGTCCAGGAATCAAACTCATGACCTCATGCTTGCTAGGCAGGCACTGTGCCACTGAGCTAAATCCCCAGCCCTTAACTATCTTATATATGTATTTTTTTTTTCCTTTTCCCTTCCTTCTTTTCTCCAATGCCCTATCCCAGTGTTTCTTTCCTTTTGAAGTTTCTTCCCATTTTACAATATCTATTGTACATTTTGGGTCTTATTTACTCTTTCAGCTTCTAACACTAGGGAGACAATGTGATATTTACACATGTGCATCTGGTTTATTTCACTTAAGAGTATGGCCTCAAGTTGCATCCATTTACATATAAAAGTCTACAGTTATCCTTCTTTATGGCTGAGGAGTACTCCATTGTATAAAAAGACCACAGCTTTTTTTTTATCCATTCCTCAGTTGATGAGCATTTGTGTTGTCTACAAGATCTAGCTATTGTGCTTCTATAAACATGGATGCACATATATCACTGTGATATGATGTTTTTAAGACCTCTGGGAAGATACCCAGCAGGGGAATAACTGGGTTCAATAAGACCTCTAATCATAGTTTTTTTGAGGAATATCCACACTGATTGCTACAGTGGTTTTACCAGTCTACACTCCCATCAACAGTGGAGAAGAGTTCATTTATCCACATGGCCCCACCCAGCTTTTATTATTGATGGATTTCTAGGTCTTTTCTGGTCACAAATGAATTCTGTGGGATATGCTATTGGAATTTTGAATGGCATTGCATTAAATCTGGATAACAGTTTTGGGAGTACAGCCATTTTCACTATATTGGTTCTTCCTACCCAAGAGCAAGGGATAGCTTTCCATTTTCTGACATCCACTTCAATCTCCTTCTTCAGAGTACTGCAGTTTTCAATGTAGAGGTCTTTTACAACCTTCATTAGACTGATTACTAAGTATTTCGCTTTTTTTGGATGTTATTTTAAAATCTATTGTTTCCCTAATTTTTCTCTTAGTCAGTTTGTTATTCATTTCTTAATCTGTGCCAAGAGGTGAACTCCAAAGGCCTTGGTTTGGCTCAGGCCCTATGGCACTGCTGGAGGTTGTAGCTCCCATGGATCTCTCTTGAGCTTGATTTGCTACCTCCTTGTAGTTTTCCTCGGACAATCCATGTTCCTGGCTTTTCCAAACTTTTGGGGTCTCCATTGCACCTTCTGCTATACATTCACACCTTCACACACTGCCCTCTCAGGGGCACATTGCCTTGCTTCCAAGGCCTTCTTTTGAAATCTAAATGGAAGCCTTCCAGACACCACAACTGTTCCGTTCTGCATGCACTGAAAACCGGTGCCATATGGATGATGCCAGGTGTCTTGGTTACTTTTCTCTCGTTGCTGGGACAAAATATCTGACGCCCAAAATTAAGGAAGGAAAGGTTTATTTCACTTACAGTTTGTGGAGGTTTTAGTCCATACTTGGCAGGTTACAAGGCAGAGTGGCACATGGCAGAGGCTACAGCTCATGGCGGCAGAACACAGCAAAGACAACAAGCACCAAAAAGGAGGAATGGCCGCAAGCAGCCTCTTCCTCTCCCTTACGTAGGCAAACTATCCACCCCAGGGCGGGTGTAGCTCTCACACCCATAATCAATCAAACTCTAAAAGCCTGTCCCATGGCAGCACGAGGCTTTAGGGGGACACCCAGACACAAGCCATAACACAGGGTCTGCTGCCAGCTGAAGCAGTAACCAGGCTTCCTTCTCTTTTGTCTGTAGGAGTCAAGTGCCTAGATTGGTGAGCACTCTGAATACAACTGTGAGGGACAAATTTTCTAGACTGCTGCCATTCTGGAAAATGGTGCTCTGAGGCTCTCTTCTCAAAGCAAAGTCTTTCACTTGTGCAATTTTGAGGGTGCAAAAGATGGGAGTCATGCAGGTTCTTGTGATGCCCTCAAGCCATCCTTTCTATCCTCCTCTTCCTTCTCATCAGTTAAGACCTCCTCTGATCTATCTTTGCAAGTCCATAGATTTACTAGAGCTTCCTTTCTGGCCACACTCAAAACATTTTAACTCATTCTACTGGGTTCTTTGCCCATGATTCTCAACATAAATCTGGTAAAAGCAGCCAACAGTAGCATGCCATTGCCTAAGCATTAGACAGGCTTGAAATTTGTTCTGCAAGAATAACTAGTCTTCTGCCCTTAATTTTACTCTCGAAGTCTCCAAACACCAACAAAAGTCTGCAGACAGATTTTCTGCCAAGGTGGAACACACATCATCTGGAATCCAACAGTCAGTGGCATCCTTCTTTCCAAAAGAAACCTCCTGAGCCTGGTCTTTACCAGGAGGATTTCTGCTCTTCTTAGCTCTGACCAGACTCTCCCATGACTACAGCCTAGGCATTCCACCTCTACTTTTTTAGGCAGCATCTCCAATCCCTTCTTAACTCTCCTCCTTCCAACAAACCAGTTCTAAAGGCTCTTGAGTGACATGGCTAGGTAATTTAATCCCACTCCTAGTACCAAATTCTGTCTTAGTTTTCTCTTCTTACTTAAACAAAGGATGGAGTCATCCAAAGTTAAAGGAAGAAAGGTTATTTGATTTACAGTTTGTAAAGGTTTCATTCATAATTGTCTGGCTCCAAGGCAGAGTGGCATGGCAGACACGTGTCACAGAGGAGAAAGAATTTATGGTGGACAGAAGGTAGTAAGGCAAAAGAGGGCATGAACAATCTCTTTCTGTCTTTTATATCTTATCCAGAGTACTTAGGACAGGTATTACTCACACCTTGAACCCTAATGTCCTTGAGCCTGCCATTGCATCAGAGTCAGACAATCTAGATCCAGCCACCTCGGAAAAAAGCCCCAGTTATGTCTGCATGGGGCTTTGGGGGGACATCAAGACACAAGCCATAACATCCACTAAAGCTTTCCAAACTGCAAGCTCGGTCCCAGTGGGGTGATGCAAAAGGTGATAGAAACTTTGAGAGGTAAAGCAATGGGAGAGGACTAGCTAATTGGGGGAAGTGCCCTGGGCAGAAATTAACATTGATGTCTTGGAATGAGTTAGCTCTCCTGAGAGCTTGTTGTTCTAAAGTCCAGGGTAGAGCCCTGTGTGTGTAGAGCAGAGTCCAGCAGACTCTTACTTGGGCAGCTCCTGCTGACTAACCTGTAGCAGCAGTGGCAGGGGCCAGGCTAAGAGGAGACTGAGAGAGCACTGCAGGGTCTGAGAAAGCATCCAGAGTCATGACCAGAATGCAGAGCTGTGGGAGCAGTTCTGAAGTTTCAGGACCCTGCGTTCCAGCTGTGTGTAATAGCCAATTGGGAGGCAACTGATGCCACAATTGCCAGCCTGGAATTAGGGTAAACTGAGGCCCAAGAATTCATTTCTTTTGGGAGCCACTGGAGCTGGTTATTGGTCGTATGTGTGAGCACAGGACAGAGCCAGAGTGCCTCAATTAGTCGGTATTGGAAAAAGCATCCTGCCTGGACAATTACAGTCCTTAGTCACTAAGCAACATTACTTCTCGTGATACTAACCTTGCAAGAGTATACAGTAAGTGCCCCTACTGTTGAAGTCAGTTCTCTTCCCATCAGGTAAGAGGTAACTCCACCTGACCCAGCTCTCATCCCTTATCTTTATTTTTCTCATACCCACTGCTGTTTCTCTCTTGGAGAACAAGAGACCAACGAGGTTCCCTACGATTTCCTGATCCCGGCCAGGTTCAGCACTGCTACCTTGACCCACTATTCTTAGTCCTCTCAGGCACTTGAAGCAGGAGCCCCTTGTCACGCATTATTCCACTTTGGCCTCACTACAGCCCTGGAGAGTGGAGGTATTACTTCCATCTTATGGGTGGGAATCAGCAGTCCCAAGAAGGATTATAACACATGGATAGGTATATAGTGAGCCTGTGTGCCCAGAAGTAGGTAGAGGGAGAGATTCTACTGTGCAGGACTAGTGTGGTCTTGGGTACACACTTTACCTCTCAGGGCCTGAATTTCCTCACATCAAGACTAAGAGGAGTACTCTCATGCTTTATGGTTGCTGAGAGGATAAAATTTGATCAACTAGATTTGTGACCTGAGGATACTGCTCCACAGAAGTGATCAGACACTCTGGATGCTGTGATTGTCATCCACCCACCTCCCCCACCACCCCTTGAATTCAGTGGAGGGATATCTGATCACAGCCAGAGGCAGCTGCGGTTGGATGTCACACTGTCGCTGCCACGCCTCTCCCCACTCCCACCTGATTGCCCAACCTCCAGGCAATGAGTAAAGACTCTCCTGTGAATTGCAAGGCTTTTATTGCTGGACTCCTGTAGTCAGACACCTGGACATGGCGGGTTGCTGAGACTATGTAGAGATAAGGCAAGTTGCTTTTGTAGGTCTCTTGGCATGGATGAGTCACTTAACAGTAAGGGCTTGAGTATATTTTTTCCTGCAAAGAGAATGTCAGGGAATTTGGTGAGGCCTCCAGGTTATCTTGTTTTGTTTTGTTTTGTTTTGTTTTTCTTCCGGTACCAGGAATCGAACTCATGACCTTGTGCTTGCCAGGCAGGCGCTGTGCTGCTGAGCTATATCCCCAGCCCTGTGGCCTCAAGGTTAAAAGAGACATCAGACACCTGCACCTTCGTTGGACACTTCCTGGAAGGAGCCTGAGGTCAAGATGAAGTGTGGCTCTTTGATCTATGCAGGCAAAGACAGATTCCTTCCAGTCTTCTGCACCGGCAGAGTGTCCCAAGGGCTGCCTGAGACTGCACTCCAACACGAAGAGGAGAGAGATTCCTCTTTAGGATGGGGGTGTGGCATGACGTGGGCCAGAGTGCAAAGGCGCTGCTGAGAAGGAACTGAGAGAGTTAGAATGACTCGATCTCCATCAGCTTCCTACTTCTGCCCCTCATACTTCTGGACAGCAGAGTAACCTGTCCCCAGCAGCTCTTGGGAGAGGAGACAGAGGCTTTACCCCCTTCTCCACCTGGAGAAGGAAGGACGGGTGGGTATGACAGCCGCCTTCTCGGCTGGTGCAGGACCCACAAAGCAGCCCTTTGGGATGCAAGACAAATAGAAAGTTAATAATTTTGGAGCAGAGAAATCAGAGTACAGCAATTAGAAGAAGGACTGGATCCAGTGTCCTTGGTTTGAAGAGGATCCAGAAGCATGTGCTGGAGAGAGGGGCCGGGGGTGTTAAGAGCTGAGGGTCTGACGTGGAGGCCAGGAGGGGCCATGGAGAGAGACTGCTAGAAATCCTCAAAGAGAAACAAAGGGAAAAAAGAGAAAACAAAGACTGTCAGGCTGACAGGGCAGAGCGGAGCACCCGTGGCCCACCCCGAAATTAAGGGTCTCATGGTTTCACTGTTGTTCCCACCTTCTCTAGTCAGCGTTTGCTCCATCTGCTCTAACTCCTCATTCGTGAGGTTCTCTCTCCTTCTAGCTTTCCAGGGAAAGGCCATGTGGGAAGGAGGATGGATCCCCCTAATTCTGATTCCTTACCACCAATATGACAGATGCCCAGACAGGCACAGAATCACAGACATGCACTGGAGCACTCACCAACGCACTGGATGCATTCTCCTTATCCTCTCCCGTCAACTTGCTATCAAGGCATGCCTTAAGAAGTTTAGCATTTTCTAATACTGCAAGGTTTTGATTGTACTTTCCCACATAGGTAACATATTCCTTAGGGCTTCCAAACAGGAATAGATGTACATCCTTTTTCACAGTTTCGCACAGTTCACCATCTGGAACACAAAGACAAGCTGAGCCTCCCTTGAAGATTCTCATCAGGACACTCTCATCCCTGCTCCCATCCAGCATGATCAGACCTGACCTGGGAAGGGGTCAGAGCACCCTGGAGAACCCACACCCCACACAGCCATGTCCTAAGCACCCACTTGCGCCGGAGATCAGGACCAACGCAGCCCCAAGCAGCACAAGAGCAGTAGCTGGCTTCATGGTGCAGTGGCAGGTGCTCCCTACCCAGCTTGCTGTCCTTTTATACGTGCTCTGGGGTCACACGGGGGCAGGGAGTGCCTGTGTCTGACAGGGCCGAGAAGGCGGGCAGTCTGGAGCTGTGGGAGGGCAGGTGTGTGTGGGCAAAAAGGTAAGCTGCAGAGTCAACAAAGGCTCTGGCTCTTCCTTCTCCTCTTCTTAGGGCTCTGCCCAAGGTCAGGGGACCTGAGCAGCCGAAGAGAGAGAAGTAAAGGGAACCCTGACTGCAGAAAGGACCAAAAGTCTGCAAAACTAGACCTTAGAATGATGTTTCGTGTCAGTTTGTTATACCTGATGTGCCCTTAGTGGTAGCCTGCTTGTGACTTTTTGGATTTTTGGGGGAGGTGGGTATTTTGGGGGACTGGATATTGACCAGAGGCTTTGTACTGAGCTGTATCTCTAGCCCCTTTTAAAAAATTTATCTTGAGAAAGTTTTTCTCTAAATTGCTAAGTTGCCTAGGCTGCATTTGAACTCTTGCCTCAGCTTCCCTGAGTGCTGGGATTACCAGCATGCACCACAGTGCCTGGTTGACTTGATGGAGTTTTTCAGATAACCCAGAGCTGAACTAAACTTCATACAACCAGGGAGTGTGAAGGCAGGACACGGGGAGGGACGCCCCATAACACAGCTCGTGGCCTTCCCTGCTTTCATCACATCTGCTCTGTGGTCTCCCTTGAACTGATTTCTTGGGGCTGTTTCCGGAGCCCTGACTTTTTGCCTCCACTCACTGGCCGTCTTTGAAGTAGACTGTTCGTCTTTTTTAGTTTGTTTGTTTTTTGCCGGTACCAGGAATTGAACTCATGACCTTGCGCTTGCCAGGCAGGCACTGTGCCGCTGAGCTAAATCCCCAGCCCCAGACTGTCTTTAAGACGCTAGTTGTCTTTGCCTGAGTCCTGCCACTCAAAGCATTGAGAGTACCTGAAAAATCAATGGAATTCATCGTTTTCCCCAGTCTGCTTCTCCTTTTCAATTTCTCTCCACTGTTCACAGCGCCATCTCCCCATAGCTATCGCCTGAGCCAAACCCGAGCCCCTTCTGTGGGCCTTGACCTCTGTGGGATCTGCAGGCCCGGTCCCTGACTCCTGCTGCCTCTCTGCTCTCCCTGCCACTCTCCACTCTGTTTCTTTCTGTTCTGTTCTTGTAGTACTGGGGGTGGAAGGGCAGCTCTCGCCATGCTGGGCAAGTGGTCTGCAGCTGAGCTGCAGCCCCAGCCACTCTGTTTTGTGACAAGCCAAGTATGCTCCTGCACCTGGGCCTTCCTCTGTGCCGCCCTCACTGCCTGGAACACCTACTCCAATTAGCACACGATTCCCTGCCTAACTCCCAGATCGCTTCCAATATCACCTTGCCAGAGAGATTGCCTAGCTTGGGTTGAATGTGCTTTGTCCCCACCACAACTCAGACTGAGGCCTGGTCCTGAGAGGTGGGGTGTGGTGGGCGGGGTCATGGGAGTGGAGTCATCAGAAATGAATCAGTGTTTTTCTCTCTGAGTGAAGTCTCACTCTTGTGACCCTGGGTCAGTCACTATGCAGGCCAGTTTTTCTAAGCTGACTTTGGTGTCCTGTGTTCCTCTGCTGGGTTCCACACATTCCTGGTAGCCCTTGCGCCGTCCTGCCAGAGCTGAACCAGCATAAGACCCTGGCTGCCTTGTGAGACAGTGTTGCAGAGGCCAGTGATGTGGACAACCAAAGAATTTACTCAGACAGAAGTAGAAATAAAGACAAGAGTTTATTTAGATCAGAGTGCACTATCAAGAGTGGGCCAGACGGGGAGATCTACAGTGGAGAGCACGGCAGTGTTGTCTTCAAGGGTAAAGCATGGCTAGAAGGAGGGAGGGCCTGGGCCCCGCGATATGCTAGGGAGGCTGGAACCACGCATTCCCGGTCTCCTTATGAACAGCAGCGCGCACCATCCCTATGATAAGGGAGAGTCGGGGGTGGGGGCCAAGGGAACGGTCACATGTGTCACAGAAGGACGCCAAGGACTGTCTTGCTGCAAGTTTCTGTAGCTGTTCATCTTGAAGCAGAGTAGATGACTCTGATGGGCAGAAGAGAGGTTGAAACAGCCTCTCCTTGCTTCCTTCCCGCTCTACCACTCTACCAGAGTCAGTCCCTTAACATTTGGAAAGAGGCCTCAGCTGCTTCAAGCTGGGTGTGGGTGGGGATGGGCCCCAGCTGAGGTCCCTGAGCAGTCAGTGTGGCCAGTTTGGAAGTGAACACTTTGACCAGCCTGTATGAGAGTGTGTAAAGGCAAGTGTTGAGCAGGAAAGATTGGCATCCTCATTGGATCCTCAACACTCATTTCATGATCTCTAACCTGACAGAGACAAAATGTACACTCATGTTAAGTGTAAATGGACCTTAGAGAAGCTGAGGTGTTATTACTAGGCCTGTTGGAGTATGCTTCAATGTCTCTGGACAATCATGATTCTGGCAGAGTCCTTTCTGATCATTATTATGAGAAGCTAATGCTCAGGAACACTTCCTTGCAACCTCTTGGCTCTACTTATGCTTTGGTAGGTTTGACGCAGATGACTCCATCTTGATTTCCACAGCTCTCATGTTTTTAAATCCCCGTTTTTCCTTATGAGAGTCTCTTACAAGCTTCGGAAACAGTGTTCATGGTCAGAGATAGCTTTATTAGAAGAGTATGTGATTTATACAACAATAAGATGTTTGTTTATTTGAAGCTAATAGATGTAGACCAGATTTTAAATGGCAGGATTCAATCATTTTAAATGACAGGATAGAAAGAATGGAAATAACAAGAGGTTTTCATCATTTTATATGTTTAAGGTCCTGATGCAATCTATATTATACAGAAGAGCAGACTCCCTGGCCTGTATGCATCACAACCATGTGCCTTTAGTTTCAAACTTTGTATATCTATACAGGTTAGTCCGCATATGTGTGTACATTTCTAACCCCAGATAGGAAGAGTGTTAAATACACTCTGATTATGTATGTTATCAGTGGCTTATTTAAGCCATGTGAAAACTTACCAATGTTGGGGATCCTATGGGAACACCAGGAAGCACTTAATATGAGGAACCTCAGAAACTTTGATCTGATAGCCTCAAAGGAGGTTCAATCGTAATTTGTTGTATCTTCAGGGACCAACACATAACAGCTGTTTCATAACTCTTTGTTAGATGGGGCTGTCAGTGTTGCTCACTGGTAGAGTGCTTGCCAGCGTGCATGAGGCCCCAGGTTCCATCACCAGCATCTCAAGAAAAGAGGAACAGGCAAGAAAGGAAGAAAGGAAGGAAGAGAAAGAGCAAAGGTAAAAAACTGTTCAATGAATTCAAATAATATCCACTTCTCTGCAGTCCATAAACAAGAACTTCCTTTAGGTATACTTGCTACCTGTGTGTTTTTGAAATTGACTTATTAATTTTAAATTGTGAAGACCATAAATATTTTGATAAATTGGAATTAAGCAGTATTTTGCTAGAGGCAGTTGACTCTCCTTTTCTCTAAGTCAACAGTGACAGAATTAGTGACATCTCAGAGCAGATGATAGGACATGACATGAACTTTTTGATGCTGATTAGAACCTTGTGCCAAACAGGATTCACATCCGGTAACTGTCTTGATAAGAGGTGCCTAGTGCTGAGCTCCAGTTGTCAGATATCCACCAGGTGCTTTGGTAGTTTTAATGCAGATAACTCCCTCTTGATTTCCATAGCTGTCGTGTTTTTTTAAGTCTCCTTTTCTTCCTAGGAGAGTCTTTTATAAACTTAGGAAACAGTGTTCATGACCAGAGATAGCTTTATTAGAAATGTATCTGATTTATACAATAACAAGATGTTTATTTATTTGAAGCTTATAGATGTACACCAGATTTTAAATGGCAGGATTGAAACACATAGCAGCTGTTACAGAATACAAAGAATGGAGGCGTCAATAGGTTTTGATCATTTGATATGTTTAAGGTCCAGATGCAATCTATATTGTACAGAAGAGAGCAGTCATTGGCTTCCCTGCGTGCATCAAATGCATGTGCCCTCCAGCCATCATACCTCAGTAAAAGGAGTCACTGGTGAGGAGGTAATATGCTATTTTTGACAACCCTTAGGCTGTAACTACTTATTAGATCCTTCTTGCATATCTCTGTCTTCCTGAGAAACCACTTTGAAGATACCACCATGTATTACAGCAGCCATTGATATTTTCCCACTAATCTATCCATAACTGTGTTAAGTTTGTAATGTTCCTATCCTATTTCATAATGTATGTTTATTATTATGTGTTTCCTACAACAACCATTGAGAATAGTTAATGATTTTTCAATAGGTCACTCATGTATAGCTCTATTTATTTTCTTTAGAAGCCTCTTTGAAGATACCAAAGTATAGCACAACAACTCTTGATAATCTCCTACCTCTTTTGTCTCTAACTCACTATTATTTGTCTATTTGTTTTCCTGAGAAATTATTTTGTAGATAATAATATGTAAAACGATAACCATTAAAAAAAATGCATGTGCCTTTAGTTTCACACTTTGTATATCTACACAGGATACTTGTCATATGCATATACATTTCTAATCCCAGATGTATAATGAGTTAAATATGCTATAATAAAGTGTATTAATAGTTATTGAGGCAGGGTTATACATGGATTGTTTATCAACCAACACTGAAGAACCACGGATATATTAACAATCAGGTTTATAGGTAACCTAAAGTCAATAGTAGAATACAGAAGAAAGTATTTTGATGAAACACAGGTGTCTGGGGTTTTTTAAAATGGTTTTTGCAACTTTTTACTGAGCATAGATCAATATTGTAAGAAAATCTCATTGTTTTCATAGTATGGCCAGCTAGCCTAGCATATATGCAGGAAGGTAGCTACTACAGATATCATTTGCTTACCCAGTTTGCTGTGTCCTTCTGAAAATGCTTACTGGACATTCAGGCCCCTGTGTGCTTAGGTTGCCCCCCTTGACTTGGCAGGTGTCT